GTTCAATCAACTAAATTTCCCACAGGTGGACTCCAAACAAGTTGTGGAAACATCTCAAGGATGATCAGTGGGAACAGAATGCACCAGAGCTCGGTTTTGAGTGTCATGGCAAAGGATGTGAATACTTATGTACATGTGTTTTTTTTTTTCATTTTGTATTTTTAATAAATTGCAAAGATTTCAAAATGAACGTTTTTCACGTTGTCATTATAGAGTATTGTTTGTAGAATGTTGAGGAAAAAAATTAATTTAATCCATTTTGGAATAAGGCTGTAATATAACAAAAATGTGGCAAAAGTTAAGAGCTGTGAATACTTTCTGGATGCACTGTATTGTAGGGCTGTGATGGTGAACAGCAGCAGTTTCCCCCTATCTTTTCACCTAAAGGTGATGTTAAAAGCCTTCATACTGATATAGATTTGTTGGATGCCTTGTTATATCTGGTGAACCAGAAAGTCTCTTGGGTTTAGACCCAAATGATGAGCAAGATGTTGATTTTACAACAGGGGACATTGTTTACATATTTTAATGTTATTTTATTAAAGGACAATTCCCCCATTTGAGGTGTCTTTATTTGCTTGCCTCGCTTGCTTCGACTTTAACACACATTAAAGTGCCTATCGCTTCAACATGCTTTTTTTTATGTGTTGTTGATTCTTTTGCAATGCTTTTTGAAGCTTTAATGAAGCTTGGCAAATGTCCTGTGTGTGTTGATTTTCTATTTGTTTAAAAGGGGCTCAGTAGAAGCTCTGCTGCTGCCCCGCTCAGTAGTACCCCCAGCTTTGCTGATCCCCCACTCAGTAGTAACCCCCAGCTCTGCTGATCCTCTGGTTTGCTGATCCTCTACTCTTTCTGGTCACCGCTCCCCTCCAGCTATACTACTCCCACTCTGTGCACCACGTGTGACATCTGCTAGTTTCTCCTGCTCTGGTCCCCCAGCTCTGCTGATCCTCTGCTGCTCAGTCCTCTTTCTCTAGTCCCCACTAACTTTTCCATTATAGCGTTCCCATGTTGCACATCATGTGTGCCATCTGCTAGTTGCTCCTCTCCAGTTTTGACCCCGTTCACCCTCCATTCTGTCTGCACCAGACACTTCCTGAATACATATACATGAGCTGAAAGTGACTGTTGGTGAAGTTTTTACATTTCACTTGATGGTTTCCCAGTGCATCCTGGGATATCTCAAACCTGCAATACCTCCTAAACAAAGCAAATCTAACGCTGAATAAAAGCCCCTCAAAATCTGCAGGTACTGTAAGCGAGCTTTGTCATAGACGTCTATGGTGGCTTTGAAGATGCCTTGAAGCACCAAGAAAGCAACATGGGGTATAATTTTTGAAGTGAAACACAGCAAACACAATGTGTGAACAGGACTGTAAGGTACCAATTTTATTTAGTGAAAGGTGTTTTGATTGGCATTCAGAGTGCTTTAAAGAAGTGTCTCAAATGCTAGCAAATGTAAACGAGCCCTTAAAATGTGCATTCTTAACTCAAAAAACCTTCCATTGCTTAGCCTCCTTGCTGCTTTGATCTGACATCTTGTCAGAGGGTGTCTATGTTCTGTCTGCGTGGTTCCACTTTATGTAGAAGCATAGCCACCCTCTCTTTCTTGCTCCTGAAATGCAGGGACATAGATAAGGAGGTGGGCTAGGGAAGTCTGATCCTCCCCCCAAAGCACCCTGCCTGGAGCAGCACCACTCAGCCTTAACAACAGTGCAGGCTGTGCAGCAGAGCTGTCTGAGAATATAAGCCGGCTGACAGCATCCACTGCCATGCCACTGCCTAGTGTTGTCAGTGCTAGTGGGGACTGGGCAAGCATGTGATTGGTTGCTAGGTCATCAGCGGTCCTAACAACTAATCACGTGCTTCCCCACCCCCAGGCCCCGACATTCAGAGGAAGAGGAGGGCGACAAGGATGGAACTTCCTTCTTTCAGTTCCTGTAGCTGCCTGTAGGAATGAGAAGGAATGGGCTCTGAGATACAGAGGGGTTTGGAGGATCCTGATGTAAAGGCAGAGGGAACTTTAGGGACCAAAATTAAAGAGAATGGGCTGTAGGGACCCTGATGTAAGCTGGGGCAACTCTGAAGACCATACTTTAAAAGGGGACCCTGATGTATTGGGGGAACGTTTAGGACCCTTATGTAAGGGAAGGGGACTCTGAGGACCCTGGTGTAAGGGGTGAGTCTATGGGTAGGGGGACTATGGAGACCATGATGTAAAGGGGGACCCTGATGTATTAGGAGGGACTCTTGGAACCCTGATGTAAGGGGTGTGGACTCTGGGGTCCCTGATTTAAGGAAGGGGGGCTGTGGGGGGACCCTGATGTAAAGGGAGGGTCTATGGGGACCCTGATGTAAGGTGGGGGGCCTTTGGAGACAATGATGTAAAGGACTGACCCTGATGCATTGGGGGAAATTTTGGGACCGTGATGTAAGGAGGTGGGACCCTGATTTAAGGAGGGGTCTCTGGGGGACCCTGATGTATATAAGATGGGGGGACTCTGGAGATCATGATGTAAAGGGGGATCCTGATTTATTGGGGGGAGGCTTTTGGGACCCTAATGTTGGGAGGAACTCTGGGGATCCTGATTTAAGGAGGGGGAACTTTAGGGACCTTGATTCAAGGGGGGTTACTTTAGGGATCCTAATGAAAGGGAGAAGCTCTGATGTATGGGGGGAACTTTAGGCACCCTAATGAAAATGGGGACTCTGATGTATGGGAGAATTCTGGGGACCCTGATTTAAGGAGGGGGAACTCTGGGGACCCTAATTTAAGGAGGTGAGACTTTGGGGACCCTGATGTGAGGGGGGTGTAACTGGGTGCACTAATGTGAGAAGGGAGGACTCTGGGGACCCTGATTTAGGGAGTGGGGACTCTGGGGACCCTAATGAAAGGGGGGGCTCTGATGTAAGGGGGAACTCTGGGGGTCATGATATAAGCAGGGTGACTCTGGGGACATTGGTGTGAGGAGGGGGGACTCTGGGGACCTTGATTTAAGGAGGAGGGACTCTGGGAACCCTAATTAAATGGGAACTATGATGTGAGGGGGAACTCTGGAGACCCTGATTTAAGGAGGGGGAATTCTGGGGGCTCTGACATAAGGGGGGGCTCTGGGGACCCTGATTTAAGGAGGGGAACTCTGGGGGTTCTGATGTAAGGGGAGAATCTGGGGACCCTGATTTAAGGGGGGACCCTAATGAAAGGGAGGACTCTGGGGGTCCTGATGTAAGAGGGGGAATTTGGGAACCCTAATGAAAGGGGGGGCTCTGATGTAAGGAGGTGACTCCGGGGACCCCGATCTATCACCCTATCAATGTAAGGGGGGATTCAAGTTGTACGTGGTCAGGTCAGCTGACAGATCACTCTACCTGTTGACTGTCAGTTCCACCCACCACACTCTAGTGTTTTCATGCTGCTGCTTGGCAGTGCTTTCTGCAGTGCAAGGAGCCTGAACTGGAGGATACAGTAGTCTGCCTAAAACCCACTGCTCCTTTGGCCTTAGAGTTATGTGTCACAAAACTCTTACCACCCAGGCCCAGCCGCCACTATTATACTTAGGTAAGTGACTGTGGCTTTTTCTTTTTTATTTATTTACTTGTATTTATTTTTTACTGATGCCCTCCAGCCCTCTGACTTGGCACAACATGTCTGTCGTCAGTGCCCTTGCACAATATTTCTCCTAGCCCTAGTTTAGGCACCAATATATGGTAGGTAGTGCATTGAGCACCATATTGTGGCAGGTTGTATACTGTTTTTTCAATCTTTCAATTAAAATATGATATAAAAAGCTGTGAGTGCACTACCCACCACATAGGGTTGCCACCTTATCCCTTTAAAACCGAACACATATTAATTACACAGGTTCTGTGACTGATTAAGGTGGTAATTAAGCTCACTTACTGCCTTATCTGCATTAAATTAGCCTCAGAACCTGTGTAATTAATGTGTTCGGGTTTAGGAGCAGGAAGGAAAACTTTTTTCGATCAAACAAATTTTCAGCCAGTGTATGTGGTTATCATTCAGAAATCACATTCATTTGAAAGTGGAATGTTAAAAGCAAAAGACAATTTTTAAATGACATTCATCAAATTTTCGCAAGACTTTTACACATGTATGGCCAGCTTTAGGTTGCATTTGCATGGTCTTTTAACCACAATGTGAATCCAATTGGCAAGAATCTACTGATTTCTGCGGCTGGGAATGACAGCTGTGTGTGGATAGCTGTGGCCACCAAGCCTGTACAATTCAATGACAGGCTATCGGTGGACACAGCTATCTCTGACTGTGTACACAGCCATCAATAACCTGCGCTTTGTATGCTTCCAGCTAAAATCAGCACAGGTAATCACTGGCTGTAGGATTGCAAGCTATCTGCCACAACTGTCAATCCCAGCCGCAGGAATCAGCAGATTCTTGCCACTGGGATTCACAGTGTGGTAAAGCAGCTCTACAAATGCAGCCCCATTCACATGGGCTTTCTGATGAGGTCCACCTGTCAGTTTTTCAGGCAGACCTGATCAGAAGCTCCATGCAGGTCTATGGGCAGGAGGATGTAAATGGATTTCTGTCTATTTACATCTGCCTACCTCTAAATCTGTTCAGGTCCAGAAAAAATATAAAAGGACACCATTATTTTCCATTTTTCTGAATCTAAATATGATAGATCAAAAGAAACCTGATGAAGTCCATTCACATCTGGTAGCCCAAAGATCCATCATGGGTCTGCAAATGTTTGCTGACAAAATACTAAACAGTATAGTTGCCACAAAAGTGCTATCTGTCCCATTCTGCTCCGATTCAGCAAGGGATCTGCTCATGGACACATTGCTGAACAGAGCAGAGTGTATGTGAAAGGATCATTAACCACCTCCCGCCCGCCATATAGTCCAATGATGGGCGCAAGGTGGTTCTCTCGTTCTGGGAGGATGTCATATGACATCCTCCCACTCTCACCGCGCATGCACGGTTCAGGAAGCGAATGGCGAACGGCGAACGGCGATGCGCTGTTTCCCTCGGACACAGAGGATCACCGATCCACGGAAAGAGCCGAAACTGTCGGCTCGGTCATGTGATCAGCTGTGTCCAATCACAGATGATCACATGTAAACAGGGAAATGCCGGTTATCGGCAATTCTCTCCTCACGAGCTGTCACGCTGACAGCTCGAGAGGAGAGAGAGCCGGTAATCGGCATTCCGCGGATGGGACATCTACACTGATCATCAGAGCACTGATGATCAGTGTGCCCTGATGATCAGTGTAGCCCCAGCAGTGCCACCTGTCAGTGTCCATCAGTGCCAGCTGTCAGTGCTCATCAGTGCCACGTGCCAGTGGCCATCAGTGCCACATATCAGTGCCTACCAGTGCACATCAATGCCACATATCAGTGCCCATCTGAGCTGCCTTTCAGTGTCACCCATCAGTGCCAGTCAGTGCCACCTATCAGTGCTGCCAATCAGTGACGCCTATCAGTGCCAGTCAGTGCCGCCTATCAGTGCGCATCAGTGCCTCCTATCAGTGCGCATCAGTGCCGCCTAACAGCGCCAGTCAGTGCCGCCTAACAGTGCCAGTCAGTGCCGTCTAACAGTGCCATATATCAGTGCTGCCTTTCAGTGCCCATCAGTGATGCTTGTCAATGCCACCTACCAGTGCCTCCTCATCAGTGCCACCTATCAGTGCCCATCACTGCAGCCTCATTTGCGCACATCAGTGAAGGAGAAAAATCACTTATTTACAACATTTTATAACAAAAACTAAGCAAAAAATTTTTTTTTTCAAAATTTTCAGTGGTTTTTGGTTTAAGAAAAAATAAAAAACCCAGAGTTGATTAAATACCACCAAAATAAAGCTCTGTCTCAAAAAATGATAAAAAATTTCATATGGTTACAGTGTTGCATGACCGCGCAATTGTCATTCAAAGTGTGACAGCGCCGAAAGCTGGAAATTGGCCTGGGCAGAAAGGGGGTATAAGTGCCCTGTAGGCTTGTGGTTAATGAGCAACTTGAGCAGATGCAAAGGGCATTGTCTTGTGTTAGGCAGTGTACTTACAGGTTTTTGTTACTTTTAAAAATTATGTCATAAATAATTTTACTAAATCATCTGTGGTGGATTGCTCTTCAGATGGTTTTTGACAGGTGGTGGGGGGGGGGGGGCTTTAATGTAGGAAAATCTACACCACTACACTGCAACTGTGCAGTAAATTGGTAGTGTTTGGTGGGTGCTACTGCCCGAGTTTGGGTACCCCCATTTGCTGCCTTAAGGGGTATTGGTGGTGGGTGGTAAAAAAGCTTACCTCTCCATAAAAGAACAATTAGCTACTGCCCTGCCGAGATGGACTAGGAAATGTGAGATTTGAAGTGTACAAAGAGCAGTGCACGACACCAACTAACTGTTGGTTCCAAACAAATGCAAATAAGTTCATTGCCGTGCTACAAAAAGAGTGCAGGGGCTTGTAGTAGAACACACAACTAAGTACTGTATATACCTGCTTCTAAACAAATGGACAGTGCAGAAAGAAGCAAAACTCACACGAAAAGCCTTAGCTTGTAATAAACAGAAAGCCCTTGCTCTTTACAAACAAAAGACAACATAAACAAGTGCATTATAAAAGGGTGAAAAACCAAGCAGGCAAAGACTACAGGGTGGAAGGGAGAAGCACAGGTGTTTAGCTTAGGACAGGGATACAGAATTAAAATTCACAGTGGTCCGTTGGTAACATTTTCTTCCCTCAGAGGTCCGAATCTCATTTCTCTTCTATGACTCAGGGCTTTCCCATCACAGCCCCCCTTACATCACAACTCAACTTTCCCATTAGAGCCCCACAAGTTTAAAGCTCTGCTTACAGTCCTCCTTGCAACCCCCACATCACAGCCCCCTTTCAATCACAGCTCTCCTCCTCACACTACAGACCCTTCATATCATAGCTCCCCCCTCTCACATCCCAGCACCCCCATATCAAAGGTCCCCCCCTCTCACATCACAACTCCCCCTTAAATCACAGCCCCCCATTTCACAGCTAGCCCCCTCACATCACAGCTCCCTCTTACATCACAGCCCCCCATATCAGAACTCCCCCCCCTCAAATCACAGCCCCCCCATTACAGTCCCCTTACATCAGAGACCCCCATATCAGAGCTGCCCCCTCTCACATCACAACTCCCTCTTGCACATCATGGCCCTCCCCCTTCTCACATCACCTGCATCAAAGCCACCTATATCATAGCTCCCCCTTATCACATCACAGCCCTCCATATTATATCACAGCCCCCCATATCAGAGCTTATCCCTCACATCACATCCCCCAGTATTACAGCTCCCCCCAATTACACCCTATTTCACAGCTCCCCTCTCTTACTACCCCCCACATCACATCTCCCCCCCTCATGGCCCATTTTACAGCCCCCCAAATCACAGCTCCCCCCTCTGACATCAAAGCCCTCCCCTAATCTGCCCTACCTTAACTCAATAGTGTGCAGGGGAGGAGGAATGGAAGAGAGCAATCCTCTTCTGAATGTACTTGTCGCTGTCACCGCTGAACTCACTGCAGGGAGGAGGGTGCAAGGAATGCCAGGGTGGACTCCTCTTCTGTGTGACCTGTCCTGCCACCACTGCTGTTGAAGTCACAGTAGAGAAGGAAGTGGGAGGAATGACAGGGTAGACTCCTCTTCTGAATGTACTTGTTGCTGCTGCTGCTGCTGCTGAACTCACTGCAGGGAGGAGGGCAGGAGGCATGGAAGGTCTGCACTGAGGGTGGGAGCTGCCCAACTATTCTTGTTAAAAATGCCATTCCTCCCACTTTCTTCCCTACTGTGACTTCAACAGCAGTGGCGGCAGGACAAGTCACACAGAAGAGGAGTCCACCCTGCCATTCCTCCCACCCTCTTTCCTGCTGTGAGTTCAACGGCATCAGGAGAGTACATTCAGAAGAGGCGTCCACCCTGTGATTCCTTCCACCCTTTTTCCCTGCTGTGAGTTCAGCGGCAGTGGCTGCAGGACAGGTCACACAGAAGAGTCCAACCTGCCATTAGTCCTGCCCTCCACAATGCTGAGATTTCTAACAGCTTCAGTGACAGGAGGAAAAGAGTCCACTCAGGCTGCTAAGTGGTACAGTCGCGGTCCGGACAGGACTGTCACTCGGTTCGTGTCCGGATCGTGGTCCTCCATTTAGTGACCCCTGACTTAGGAGATGAAATGACATGAATGTCCGCATTTGTAAATATCTTTTACTTGTAATTACCAGAGTTAGTTGGTTGCAGACAGGTACTTCCTGTCCCTGCTGTTTCGGTCAAAAACCCAAATGGAGGACTGTGATGTTATATTATATGGAATTTTCATGAAGTAGACAGAGAACTGACCTAATGACCTTACATTCACAGGAGCTGCTTTTCTTGTTGTATATTACCCAGGGCAAAAGCAGAGACTATTAGGCAAGCATTTCTGTGTTCTAATAGTTTAGCTGCTTCTTGAGTGTGTATATAAATCCTTGTGACAAAACATCTCTGACCTATTTTTACTATCCCACATGCAAAGTGCCAGATAGCTGGGTCTGTGCTACTGTATGTGTATAAAGGTCACCTTGCTGATCTTGTCTTTAGGTCTCTGACACAAAGACAGACACTGCATTGCGATCATCCTCAGGGGCCACTGCAACAATCATCTGAAGGTATCTTTGTAAAGATTGTATTATCCCCTTATTGGTGTGCATTTATATACTTATAGTTAATGTTATATGCTATGTGCAATAGTTGCTCTGCTCCATATTACTTTGATAAGATTGCTTGTTAATTTATCACGAAAGGAATCCACTCTGTTCGCAAAGGTCCACTCTTTCACAAAGGTTCTCGTCCTGTTATTTACTTACAAGTTTAGTGCAATATCATGTTTGGGGAGAGCCATTTTTCATAAACCCCCCAAAAAGAGGGCTACACAAATATAAATTTATATACAGAAGTCCTGTTCTGTCCTTGCTACATGTTAGTCTGTGGCCTGTGTGCAGCTTACCATTCAGCTAAACCCTCATATTCCTCAATCAGACTGCTGAAAGGCTTTAAAACTTTTATTTAATAAACAGGTTAGGGTAAAACTGGTGGGAAAAGCAGAGAAAGATACAATATGAACCCATACTCTTTACAACAAAAGAAAACTTCCGAACTAGTATGTACAGAAAAAATGGCAGATTTTTAAGGCATAACAAGACACTAAAATGTTTACGTCTATATATAAAAAATAACAACTTTATTTTACAAATTCATAAAAAGTTTTCATAAAAAGTACAATAGACAAATATAGGGATATCTCCTCCCCCAAGGAGGAGTATTACCCTGTAACATAATACATTTTCGATCACTGTATGAGATATAAATAAGATGCTTATCATCACAATATTGCTCTTGATATGTAAACTGTCAGCGCCTTTAGCTTATGCCCATGTCATTTCACCTCATTTTGCTACAGAAAAGGACTTTCGTGGCCAAGAATTTTCTTTTCTTTCCAGGTCACGGCTCATGCTCATATCTTTTTCAGTTGCATTTCTTGCACGATTCTGCCATCATTGATTAGAAATTAATTTTGTTTTTCAAAAAATTTCCAACATGCGGAATCACACAAATTCAATGGTTGCACAAAAATCATCCATTTCTGTGGCCCACTAATGGTGCGAAATTCGGATAAAAATTCTTAGAAAAGATTTTCAAAAGAAAATTCTTTCGAAATTCAACCCATGTATGGCCGGATTTACGCACCACCAGTTGCCCCACCCAACCCCTACCCTGCCCGACCCAATTCCACCCTAAAACACACCCCCCACAACCACATCCTCTACCCCGCTTCACACACACCCCACCCTCCACAGCTATGTCCTTTACCCCCCTTCACACACCCCCACCCCCATGTTCTGTATTCCCCTTCACACTCCCCTCCCTCCCATAGCCATGTCCTCTACTCCCATAACACCCCCTACAGTCATGTCCTATACCCCCATCACACCCTATTTAATATAGCATTAAAATATTTACTTAACAAGGCGGTAATGTGAACAGTGCCTATAGTAGCCAATCATATTTTATTTATGACAGTCAGATCAATGCAATATGATTACTTGCTGGTATTGGTTATTTTTATGTTTTTCCTTACTCAGTGTAATAGTTACATAATTAAATATAGCATTAAAAAATTAAAACTGATGAATAACTCACGTATTTAGGATAAGCACAGCACTGTGAGAACTACCAAAGTTAACTTTTCCTATTAACAAGCTGGTGACTGGTTGCTAGGTGGTCTGAGCACCAATCACCAGCTAGTTAATAAGAAAAGTAAACCTTGGCTTTTTCCCATGGCCTCTCTGATAACAATAAAGATCAGATTGCAGCTTGAGATATACCTATGAATCTTGAGTTGATCTCGTATGCCATTCTCATTGATACCAGACTCCGAGAGACCTTCCCATTAAGGAGCGCTTGCAGAAGCCTCCTCTACATTTGGCTTCAAACCTTGCATTCCCACCCATG